GCCCACCCTATCTCTACCCTCTGCTATATTTATAACTGTTGTCTGCCTGATATTAGGACTCTGTAATTGTTATTGTTGGCTGTTCTTTTATTGTTTTAAAATGTTTGCTGTTTAATACTATTTTAAGGGAGGGGTGGGTGGTTCCCCCCCCCCCAGATTGTACATTGTGGTATTTTATTGTTGTAAGCTGCCCCGATTGCTTCAGCAGAGGGGCGGGATAGAAATAATTTTTTTTTTTCAATTTGCTTTTTTTAAAATATTCTTTATTAGTATTACAACCTACATACAATATTTTAAAAAAACCTTTACATAATATTCCATATATATATATATATATATATATGGTATCTCACATTAATTATTTATTCTTTACTACTTTATCTAAATCTGATTCATATTAAACAATTTAATATTAATTAAACTCATAAATTTGCAGTATGTAAGCAGTCTTAGCCATACACATCTAAACCTCCCCTGGCTGCTGTTACAGATCAACCCCTCTCCAGCACAGAGTTCCAGATTGAGGTTTGCTAGGTACACAATGCAGTAGTAAAATCACGTGGGTTGGTGGTGGACAGGAGTGGAAGAGGAAGAGTTAAGCATTTTATTTATTTTATTTCAAGAATTTATATCCCACCTTTCTCCCACAATGGGAATCAAGGCAGGTTGAACTTCAGATTCCATCAGCCCTAGACAGCCTGGCCTATAACAAGGCATGGTACTAATGATAGTACTAATGGTAGTACATGAATCTCTAGAAAGATGAAAGTTTCCCAACTTTGCCACAAAGAAACTTGTATTTTGTGCCTTGTACAAGAATATTTGAACATTCTTAGCAGTCCAAACCTCTTCTTCCAGTCCTATCAGCAGACAATAGCTTTTGAGTACTTTTTCTTACTTCCACGAGTGATACTGGAGGTGACACAGTTATCTGTATTATTAGTCTTACTACCATTAATATAGTGGTTTTGCATCATCATTTGAGCAAAAGAACAGGTCTTCCTCCTTTCTCTTGTTCAGCAAATAGTGGAAGTGCATTCACTGAATTTTGCTAACATATATAACCATCTCCTCTACAACAAGCTTTGGGAAGACAAATCCTAGTTCAGGGGTAGACAAATTCATAGAGTATATATTAACGCAGGCAGTGGCTCTTTTGTTGTGTGCTTTCAAGTTGTTTCTGACTTATGGCAACCCTAAGAGGAACTGAACCTATCATTGGGTTTCTTGCCGAGATTTGTTCAGAGAGGGTTTGCAATTGCTTTCTTCTGAGACTGAGAGAGAGAGAGAGAGTGACTTGCCCAAGGTCACCCAGTTGGTTTCCATGGCCAAGTGGGGATTAAACCCTTTTTTTCCCAGAGTCCTGGAGAATAGTCCACTACACTTTAATCCACTACAACATGCTGTCTGTCTTGGCAATGGCTACTACTGGCCATGATGGCTATACACTACCTCTAATATCAGAGGAAGATGTCTGAGAACCAGTAGCTCAGGACACACATATCCTGCTTATGGATTGCTGTCTATATGCCTGTTTGTTATGCTGTTAAGATTAAATCTAAATAAATAAAGGTCTGTTATCCAAATAGATAACAGTTTTGATCAATTGAGACATTGAATCTATTTAACATTGTAACCCTCATTTTATTTTTATAAAACATCAATTCAAGGCTGTCAGTTCCCTGTTTTTCAATATTAGAGCATACCCAACCTGATCTTTTGAGTTTGATACACTTGTTGTGATATATGGCAATGGTCACCTCTCTTTCTGTGTCCAACTGATTCCACTGTACAAAAAGAAGAAATTGAAATATTAGTTGCTTAGATAGAAGACACTAAGAAATAAAGAAATCATGACATTTCAGATAATGATTTTCTGTTGTCGGGTGTTTCTTTTGAAAGCAAGGACAAATAGGCAATGAAATTTCCAGAGCCCTGAAAGCAGAAACATCTGTTAAGACTCAGCTTTCTTGGCTGAACACAGCAGAAAGGGAAAGCTCAACTGATTAATGTTGCCTTTATCTAATACCACAAAGGACATCTAAGGATACTGACATAATCAGAAGCCCACCATGAGCCTGGTAAGAGACCAAACATGAATACATCATGTTTTAATGTCCTCTATGTTACCAGTTGTTGTTGTACTTTTCTGACTTGCAGTGACTCTAAGACAAACCTATCATGGAGTTTTATTGGCAAGACTTGTTCAGAGGTTTTCCATTGCCTTCCCATGAGAGCATATGACTTGCCCAAGATCACCCAGTGGGTTTCATGGCCAACACAGGGATTCGAACCCTGGTCTCCAGAGTGATAGTCCAATACTCAAACTGCTATGCCACACTGGCTTGCCCTATGTTACCTAGAGGGGGAAAACACCAAAAGGGGTGTGCCATGAGACCACACAAAATCTGCAACTGCTTCTTTTGGTGGTCATATTTCACAACCCTGTTTGCTGACCCAGGATTACTACATTCTCCTCTAAAAGGAGCATTTTTTTTAAATCCTTATTAAAATATTTAACTATATATTCTTAATGTTTGTATTATATTTGGGAGTACAAAAAGAAATGCAGAAAAGAGGGATGGCTGGGAAATATATATACAGTGAGGATTCCACTGTAATGCAAGATGGATGAGATCTGAGCTGGATTAGTAGTTTCCTACTCCCTTACTCTTGAACAAAGTTTATGTGCAAAACTAAAAGTAAAAGGATGGGAAGCAATATTCCCATTAGATGGCTAATAAGACTGTTCAAACAGCATTGAGAGTGGACTAATGAATTGCAAATAAAGATGCCTGGCATATTTGGACATAACTGATCTCATCCAAGAGAATTAAGAACACCTCTCTTAACCCCTCCCCTTGAAATCTGATTGTCCTAAAATGATAAATTCCATTGGACTGGATGGCCCTTGAGGTCTTTTCTAACTAGGATTCTGTGATCTTACTTAATGTGAAATATACTTTGTTCATGGAGTCATGGTGTAACTAAGGAGAATCTTACAGAGAACACTTTTTTAATGTTTAAAGCGAAATTACAGAATCATAGAGTTGGAAGAGATCACAAGGGCCCTCTAGACCAAACCCCCTGCCATGCAGGAACTCACAATCAAGGCAGCCTGACAGATGGCCATCTGCAGACATAATCCAGGTTGGAACCACTTTAACTGTCATGCCTTCTTCCTATGGAATTCTGGGATTTATAGTTTGTTGTGGCAGCAAAGCTCTAACAGAGAAGGCCAAATATCTTACAAATCTACAAATCTAAAAATTCCATAGCATTGAGCCACAGCAGTTCAAGTGGTGTCAAACTGGATTTCTGCAGTGCAGGTGCAGCCAATGCAGGGAAGTTTTTCCTAATGTTCCTAATGATAGCAGAGGAGTGAGAAAGAAGAAAGCACTATAATGGAAGTGCTGTTACTACAGTTTTGTACAGTCAGCTGGTTTTTAAAAAGTAAAAATAAACGTTTTTAATAGTGATGACGGGCTATTCTATGTAGATTAAGCAAGAATGAATAATTATCTAAGAAAATGAGAAATGTTTATATTATTATTACTATAGAATCTACTAATAATAATTCCTTTTAATATTTATTATGACCTACTGATAGAGAAAGTGAAAACGTGCAGCAAATAAATTATCTATGATAAGGGATGAGATGGATTGTCAAATGTTGTTGTTGTTGATATGTACATATATATAATTATAAAATGACTATTATTAATGATAGATTGTCAAATATTACTGTATATATATATATATATATATATGTATATATATTCATACATTATTAGAAAATAATTATATATTTATTAATATTGTTATAAAATAACTATTATCAATTATAGGGATTGTCAAATATTATTGTTATTATTATATACATCATTATGAAATAATGATATATGTATTAATATTATGTAATTATGAAATAATTATTATTAAGGATTGTCAAATATTATTATCTCATATATATATATATATATATATATATAAAATTACAAATAACTATTATTAATATTTACATCAACATTAACAATAGTAGGTTCCGCCATTTTCCTTAAGGGCGGAAGTGCCATCAAGGCCAGCCTTCAAAGGGCGGATGGTACGCAGGGGAGCCAAAAAAAAGCCCCGACGGAAGGCACTGCGCCTGCGCAAAAGGGAAGGGCGGAGCCATCCTCACACGGCGCACAGCCACAATATGGACGGGGACTATTTTGTCGTCGTGAAGGAGGAAGAGGAGGAGGATGAAGAAGCAGCAGCAGCGACTCAGGCGGCGGCCGAGGCGCCCCTGCCTTTCCCTCTGGGGGCGCCCAGCCTGAGCGAGGAAGACGGTCGTTCCCGGCGCCGGGCCCCCTCCGAGGACAAGGTCTTCATCTGCTCCTTCCCGGACTGCATCGCTACCTTCAACCGGCCCTGGAAACTGAAGGCCCACCTCCTCCGCCACATGGGCCAGGCCCAAGAGGTGAGCGGCGGCGCTGGGACCCTGCGGGCACCTCAAGGGCCCCCGGCCAATTGAGGCGCCTCAGGCCACAGGCGGAGGCGCTTCTCCTGAGCCAATCAGCGTGAGGCGGCTTTCCATTGGCTGCGCGCGTGGTTGCTCAGGAAGCGCTCCTACAGGAAGTGACGTAGAGATTTACTGGGCGGGGCCTTTGCTTTTGTAGAGGCTTGGGCGCAGGCGATAGATTCCCGTTTGGTTTTGGAAGCTAAGCAGGGTCAGACCGGGTTAGTAATTGGAGGGGGGCCTCCAAGGAATGCCAGATGCTGCTATAATAACATCATATTATTATTACTACTACTACTACTACTACTACTACTACTACTACTACTACAATGGGCTCTTGTTATCTTCCGGGATTTGATTCCAGGATCCTCCATGGATAACAAAATCCGTGGATGCTCAAGTCCCATTAAATATAATGGCACAGCAAAATGGTGTCCCTTATATAAAATGGCAAAATCAAGGTTTGCTATCTGGAATTTATACCTTTTAAAAATATTTTCAAACCGTGGATGCTTGAATCCGTGGATGAGGAGGGCTGACTGTATTATGAATTAATATATATTAATATTTAATTTATATTAATTTATAATAGTAACTCAAGGGTGGATAACATCAACAAAAAATTAATATATATTAATATTTGTTGTTTTTGTGTGCCTTCCAAGTCATTTCTTATGGTGAACCTATCCTATTTTGGGGTTTTCTTGATGAGATTTGTTCAGAGGAGGTTTGCCATTGCCTTCCCCTGAGGCTGAGAGAGTGTGACTTGCCCAAGGTCACCCAGTGGGTTTTCATGGCCAACATCTTGCCATGAAAACACCGCAATAGGTTCACCTTACGGTTACTGTAAATCAGAAACAAGTTGAAGGCATATAACAACAACACACACACACACAGACTTGGAGAGCAAATTGGTAGTTTCTTTCAGAGAGCCAGCATAGCATAGTGGTTTGAGTGCTGGATTATATCTCTGGAGAACAGGGTTCAAATTTTGGCTCGGCCATGGAAACCCACTGGGTGATCTTGGGCAAGTCACACGCTCTCAGTCTCAGAGAATGGGAATGACACCCCACCCACCCCCCTCTGAAGAAACTTGCCAAGAAAACACCATGGTCATAAATCGGAAATGACTTGAAGACACATCACAATGTTTCTTTCACATTGTAATTTCAGTATTTATTTATTTATTTGGAGTATTTATGCCCCGCTCTTCAGCCAAACTGCTCTCAGAACAGCTTACAAATGGTTAATTAGACATTTCCCTGCTCTCAGGCTTACAATCCAAAAAACAAAGATTCAAAAGGAGAAGGGAATGGTGGTGGGGAAAGGAAGTAAGTCCAGCAGATCATCTCTTCCTCTGAGGCCTGAACCAAGGCAGATGGACTGGAGGGAGGGCCTTCTTACTGTGGCTAAGCCTGATGGAGCTGACCTGCCCTTCTCTGCCTCTGGATGATGGTGGGGAGAAGGAGTATGTTTAAAGAGATCTTGTGATTTCTTTATGCCTAGGAAGATTTATAGACTGGTATATCATAAGTCAAAACATATCCCTTCTACCTATTGAATTGCTCTGATTTGATTAAAACATAAGTGAACATGACATAGTATTATCCAGCATTCCAAGAATTGGTCACAGACAATGACTAACAATGAAGCTTTGATGAAGGAAGCACTAGATCAGGGGTAGGCAACCTTTCCCCTTTAAGGGTCGAGGGACTTCAGCTCCCAGAAACCTCAGCCATGTTGGCCAATAGCTCCTGGGATTCTGGGAGCTGAAGTCCCTCAGCCCTTAAAGGGGAAAGGTTGCCTACCTCTGCACTAGATTGACTTGACTAAGAGAAAAACAAGCATGACTGGGGGGCAGGGAGGAGATGCTCACTATTAATAGAAAGTGGAGCAGAGTGGAGTGAATGTGTTAGAAAGACGAGGAATTGAATGTCTCAACAGTATGTGCGATATCTTGTTTACCTGAAATATTGGTGTACTTTGTGAAAGAGGCACTATTCCAGAAAAGTAGTAGGACATGTAAAAATATAAGCAAGTATTTTTTTAAAAAAATGAATTAACTTTCTTTTATCAGCGCCCCTTTGTTTGTACTTATGAAGGCTGTGGTAAAGGCTTCACGAGAGATGCTCATCTTAAGCGCCATTACCTTATACACACTGGAGAAAAACCATATGAGTGAGTATGCTATTAGGTGTTTTTTTATAAATTTATTAATAATTATAACATATACAACAAAAAACATAAAACAAAAAAAATACACATTACATTCCACATATACAAATACAAATACATAGTACTACATATTTTCACATGCACACCTCTTTCTACACTTAATTCTAACCATTCACACATTTGCATCCTACGTACACTTTTAATATAACTCCAAATATTACAGAATATTATTATCTTCTTCCAAATAAATGTATAATTGCCTAAAATCATAACAAATTTCCTTTACCCCTCTACTAAACAAAACTCTTTTCTTCCCATATTTATCCCTTGTACATTCCTGATATCTTTATCAAATTACTATCCTTATTCAGTCAAATCATATTAATGTTTCCCATAGTGAGTATGCTATTAGATGGGGCAGGGGATGAAGGGGTAGATGCTGGGATTTTAAGGACAACTTCCAAACACTAAATGCATTTTGAGACCATGCTCTGAAATGTCTGAGCCTGTTCTTTGCTGGTATAATTTATTGATTTGATTTTTAAAAACAGACTTGGTGGATACCACTATCTGTGTAAGTGTTGTCAAGATAACAATTGTTTATTTGTGTAATTAACAGGATTTGCTTAATAAGGTTGCATTGTTTAGTTTATTGGTTAAATTAAATATTTTTGACTGATTACAAAGGAATCCCAGAGTGTTCAGTGATTTAAACTGACATTATTTAATAAGAAATAGATAATAGGTACTGTTTTAAGGAAGGCAATCTTACATTAGTTTTGCACTTTTTTCTAAGATAGCCCCTCTTGAAACATATCCAAGTAGAATGATGTAAATCACCAAGAGAAAACCAGTTTAAATCACTAATTAAAATAAAGTTTCCCTGAGTACTTCTTCACATACAATTTGAAAAGTGCCACAAATATGTTCACTAAAATATGTTAATTTACAACTTGATATAACAGTTTACAACATCTAGGGGTTAGCTTGTGTAGTCTAAATATAATAATATTTTTATTAATTTAGGAAATAGCAGTACATAATATATTCATCATCCATGTCCAGCTGTGAATGTGCATCACTGCATTAGTAGCGATAAGAAGTAAATCACTTACACAAACATAACAACTCCTAGAACGAAATGCAAGTTTTAGGCCTAACTAGTGTAGATCTGTTAAAACAATAGGGCCTTGGTAAGCCAACGCTTAAATGTAGGTTCTTCTGATTCATTGAGTCTATTTTAGTTAGGACTAGCAATAGGATTTTCACAGTTCTTATTCAACAAGACTAAGGCTGCAGTTCAGTATCATACTTACAGATGTGTAACTTGAAATTGAAATCCAGATTCATAATCTCTACCTTGTTACGACTGTGACACTGTTGCCAGTATCATAACTGCCCTCCTTAACCTGCTTTACTGGGCACCAGCTGCATTGAGAGAAGGAGGTATTTTCTGCTGATAATCAGGGCACAGGTGGATGTGAGCTTTCTGCCTATCCTTCTGCTGCTACCATTGTGAGGACTTCCATTTATCCCAACCATTGCCTCCAAATGAGAGGCTTTTCCTTATCCCCACCCCTGCCACTAGTGTGAAGACCTCTTAGATGACTTGTTGATTCCTGTGTGAGTTTTTATTTATCTTCTATCCCCATTGACACCACCACTCTTTATTAACTTTTACCACCAAAGACACCATGTCTGACCTCAACTTTCCAATATGTAGCATATAATACAAAAATTAGAAAGTTCTAACATTAATTTTTCTACTCTTAAAATCTCAGTATAAATAATTTTTTAGCCAGCGTGGCATAGTGGTTTGAGTGTTGGTCTACAACTCTGGAGAGCAAGGTTCGATTCCTGGCTCAGCCATGGAAACCCACTGGGTAACGTTGGGCAAGTCATGTGCTCTTAGTATTAGAGTAAGGCAATGTCAAACTTCTTCTGAACAAATCTTGCCAAGAATACCCCATGATGAAGTCACAAAACAACAATAAAAAAATTTACACTGTCTTTCAAATGTCAACAACTAGGTCTTATTTTCCACACACCTATCATTTTTACTCATTAAAACAAAAATAGGAATTTTCCTGCTTATTCATGTTTAGCTGTAGACAACTCAATATATGCAAATTTGACAACACTTAATTTATTTTTATAGAACTGTAAGTGTAGGCTTAACTAGCATGTTTGTGATGAGATACAATTTTAACTTACTTTTAAAATGAGAGTTGCAAGAATTTTAGTAATTTATCATTTTTTTAAAATATCTTGATTTAATTTTTTTTTGTCAGTGTTTATTCACCCTGCAACATATGGGGGGTTGCAGACTGTCAAAAATAGTGTGAATTCAGTCCACTTTTAGGGTTAGGGTTAGTGCTAGGGAATCATGGGAATTGTTATTTTTCTGAGACATTGAACCTTCTTTGTCAGAGAACTCTAGTGCCACAATAAAATTCAGTTCCCATGATTCCCTAACCTTAACCCTAACCCTAAAAGTGGACTGAATTCACACTATTTTTGACAGTCTGCAACCCCCCATATATCTGTAGTATCCAATGACACAAGGGGCATTCCTTTTTCGTCAGTTTTTTTTAATTGTTTTTAGTGAGTTAAATTTTTTGTACGAGTGTAAGAAGTCATGCTAAATCAGACCAGTGTTCTATTTAATTCTGCTCACACTGACTTTTTCGTTGACTATTGAAAGCCCATGAGCAGGATGTGAACATGACTGTACCCTCTCATATTCTGCAGGAAGTGCTAGAGGCGTTCTCTGATATTGGGGATAATGCAATGACTAGTAGCCATTTGATGGCCCTAATTATCTAATCCTTTTCTAAAGACATCCAGTTTGGCTATATATAGTTCTGTGGTTTAGCTGTGTATTGTGTAAAAAATATACAGTCTCCTCT